GCGTTGTTACTAATAATAATAATAGATTGGCGCATATAAAAGGTGTTAGTGTTTCTCTGAGCATCTCCTCCGATTTGTGGCGTGAGCATCTCCTCCGACAGAGGCGGACCCAGCAGCAGTAAAATAGTATGTACTGAAGTAGACAAAGCACAAAATAAATGTTCAGAAAAGTGGAAAATTTTTGGAATTTCTCAAAAATGTTAATATATTTTATATATTCAAAGATTTTCTATGTTTTACCATGAACATAAGAATTTTTGCACAATTTGTGATATTTCACATCTTTACATTTTTGGATGGATTTCAAAATAAATAAAATTTTCAAATATTTGGAATATATAAAAATTTCTAAAATCTCAACAATTTTGTACATTTCAAAATATTCTCATTCTACCAAAATTTCTAGAATCTCCCAGATTTCGATAGTTTTTAAAATTTTGGAAATTATCCTAAAAATAAGAAATCTCAAGAAATTTAATAGCTGCATTTCTTTATTTGTTCTGAACGTTTGGAATAAAATTTTTTGTTTACTTATTCTTTGGAACGTTACTGATGATATGATGATATTTCGGCTGTGAAATGGGATTATCCGGAACTAGAGATGTGCACGGGCCTAAATTTTCAGGCCCGGCCCGGCACGAGTGCAAAATCAACTTTCAAAAACACGCACGAGCCCGCACGGTAAGAAGTTTAGTGGGGCCCGGCACGACGGGACACGTCCAAGCCCGGAAATAAAGAGCCAACTTTTATTGTATGAAGTGTGAAGTGAATAATCAGGACAAAAACAAAAAAAAATTGTTTCCATGTTGCCTGCAGTGGAATTCGAACCCGACCATCTCCGGATATCAACAACTTGTGGCTAGCATCTTTGCGCACTCAGCTCCACCCAGGCATATAAATTTGCTTTCAACACAGCACGCGATTTGTACGGATAAACATGTATGGACTATGTATGTACATATGTGTGTGTTGTCACCGCTCTCAGAGCGGCGCCCTGCATGCTTGGGGTGCGTATGTACACTTTACATATATACTCAGGGCCTGTGCCCATCTCTATCCGGAACGTATAAGGAACAGCAGCCAATAATTTCATAAAATGCAAAATCTTGGAATTTCTGTTATTTTCTAAACCTGCGAAAATATTCAAACTTGCTGTGACTTTCAACTACGTAAAATAGTACAAATTCGAAAATACAACAAAAATTGCAATTAAAAATTGAATATTAAGTAATTTGAAAATTCAGTGAATTCGAAGAACTGATACGCATTTCTCACCAGCGTGTTATAATTATATGACAAAACAAGTAAGAAAGTCTAAGTTCGGGCGGAGCCGAACATTAAATACCAGGCGCAAATACTAAATATATGATGTTCACCTTTCCGAAAGCTACCGCTACATGGTAAGCCAGGGTGTATCAATTTTGAGTAAATTAGCGTCCTTAAGTTTCAAAATATTGACGTTTCAAGCATTTCTAAAATTTACCGTTATATGAAAAGCCATAATTTTAGTCCGATTTCAATCATTTTCATAGTTTTGCTTTTATGTAGCAAGCACAATAAAAATACCGAAAATATCGCAGTTTTCGTATTTCTGAAAATTACCGTTATATGGGAGGTAGGCGTGGTTATTGTCCGATTTTGCCCATTTTCAATACCATCCGTCCTACGCCCGAAAGAAGTACACGTACCAAGTTTCGTTAAGATATCTTAATTTTTACTCGAGTTATCGTGTGCACAGACGGACGGACGGACGGACGNCGTAAAATAGTACAAATTCGAAAATACAACAAAAATTGCAATTAAAAATTGAATATTAAGTAATTTGAAAATTCAGTGAATTCGAAGAACTGATACGCATTTCTCACCAGCGTGTTATAATTATATGACAAAACAAGTAAGAAAGTCTAAGTTCGGGCGGAGCCGAACATTAAATACCCGGCGCAAGTA